CTCCTTCTCCTTTTCACTCTTTCTAAAAATCAATAAAAAATATCCTTGGTTGAGGATTTTAAAAAAATTATTAACAATAAATTGAGAATTGACAAAAATATAACAAGTATCTAACAAAATTTTTTTGTAAAAAGAGTGAAATAAAGAAATATTATACTTAATATCAATCCTAAAAAATAAATCTATAGATAGAAAGGAAATAAGTTATGGTGTTATAAAGATTTGAATATCAAGAGAGGAAAGGTAGTGGAGAATTTTTAGAGGTGATAATGTGTTTGGGTTTTTTTTTAAGCTTTAGGAATATTTGGAAGTTGAAGACTCTGACTATTAAGGTGTTGGAGCCCTAGCTGGTTAGCTACGTGGCTAGAGCATTGGCCCACAGACTAAAGGGTCTGAGTTCAATTCCAGTCAAGGGCACATACCTCAGGCTCGATCTGGAGGGTGTGTATATGAGGCAACCAGTTGTTGTTTCTCTCTTTCATAGATGTTTCTCTCTGCGTGTCTCTTCTCCTCCCTTCTACCCTCTCTAAAAATCAGTGGCAGTGGTGAGTGGAGGGAAATATCCTCATATGAGGATTAGTAAGAAAGAAAGGAAGGAAGGAAGGAAGGAAGGAAGGAAGGAAGGAAGGAAGGAAGGAAGGAAGGAAGGAAGGAAGGAAGAAAGAGTGAAGCCAGATTGGGCTCTGATACAGGTGTTTTGGAGAATTCATGGATTTTCCAAGAAAAAAAAAAATACCCTTTTGCTACTGATTTAAATTGCTAAATGGAGTTATGCCAAAAGTAAGTGGTTGGCACAATTTCAAAATAATCTCTCCTAGATGGTGCTATCTATAATTAATAAAAGCACAATATGCTAATTAGACTGGACCACCTTCCAGACAAAGCCAGGGCTGTGAGGGAAGCTCGATTCTGGGTGCCTGCAGGCAGCCAGAGGGAAGTCTAGGTCCCAGGTGCCAAAGGGAAGCTGGTGCCTGCAGCCAGGGGAAGGAAGGCCTACTTTTGCATGAATTTTGTGCATCAAGTCTCTAGTCCTATATAATAAAAGGCTAATATGCAAATTGACCAAATGGCATAACCACCAGTTGCTATGACATGTGTGACCATCAGGGGGGCAGATGCTCAATGCAGGAGCTGCCCCCAGGTGGTCAGTGCACTCCCACAGGGGGAACGCTGCTCAGCCAGAAGCCCTGAGCCAGGCTCATGGCTGGTGAGCACAGTGGTGGTGGCAGGAGTCTCTCCCGCCTCCACAGCAGCACAAAGAATGTCCGACTGATGGACATCGCCCAAGGGCTTCAGACTGTGAGAGGGCACAGGCCTGGCTAAGGGACCCCCTCCCCCCTGAGTACATGAATTTCATGCACTTGGCTTTTAGTTTATTTAATAATAGTATGTAGTAGAAAATACTAATGGAAGACTGATTACACAGAATTTGTTACTCATAAGACTTAATATCTGATATCTTAATTATGAAGACCTTCCTATTTATTTTAACACCTTTATACATTACACTCCATCTTTAATCCAACCCTATCCTCACTGTCATTCAGATCGCTAATAACTGTGTTAATCATCATTAATTTAGCACACATGATTTAATAGTATACATCACAGGCAATTATGTTGCAAATTGTTTAGCATTTTTTGTGAAGAATACAGCTACTAACATTTAAGATCTATATTAGCTAACTTTGGCATAAAAATTGTCATATCTGAAAAAGAACCTGTGGAGAGACAGCATGCTTTTCCTAGAAGAGATGGATTGTTCATACCTGAAAATAAGCAGTCTCCATCAGTAGTTGTTTTGGAAAGAAAATATTCTTCTAAGGTAGTGGATGAGGGGGAAATTAATTGGTTAAAAACAAAAAATGTTTAAAAAAGGGAAACAGTGTTCATTCCCTTTTAAGAACTATGCAGATGAAAAATTCTTCTGCATGAGCTTGATCTATATGTTTTTCATGGTTATTAGTAGTAATGAAGTTGCATTAACCATATTCTCTTGATAATGCTCCAGCAGTTGCTTAGTACTTTTATCAGCGTATAAATTTTACAACTGGCAATGTGGGAATTTGACTGGTACATTTTTGTTTATAAGGAAGGATAACATTATAACTTCTTCATATCTATGAATTATGAATCTTGACTTGCAAAGAAGCATAACTAAACTGCAACAGAGCTTCAATATCATGATAGCTCTTTTTTCCACCACCTCACAAGCCATGGCAGTGCATGTAGGCTGTTAAGTGGAATACAGTGCCAGAGGTATGCCTTCTTAATCCAGAATGTGTGAGTTATTTTCATTTTCTCAATAAACATTGTATTCAGGGTCTTCTCTATCTGTACATTGAAAATGCTCTTCTTCATAAAGAAATAGCTGAGAACGGAGTAGACGGTGCATAATCACCATATATCCTTATCTCTGTTAGGAAACATTATTTTCAATAACTTTTGGAAGGACTTTAAATAGCTCAGTTCTTTAAAGATTAAATATGATCCAAAAAGAACCCTTTGGAAAATGATTTTCCCCATTTCATGAAGTTATAAATGAATAAATGTTTTTTATCAAGCTGAAATCCAGGTTTTAAATTTAATTTGTCCTATCTCCAAAGGAATGTTTAAGTTTCCAACACCTAGCCCATAATATTAGCTAGTACCATTGGGGAAGAGTTTATGGGAGGACGAAGCATCATGTTCTTTTCTTGTTGTGTTAGAACTATAGATCAGTCTGATGAGAGCTACATGTAGTAATGCCCAGGTACAGGTGTCATGTGAGGAGTGGGAGAGTTACTAGGTAAGTGCTGCCAGGTAGATCTGAGAGAAGGAAATTATAGTAAAAGTCATTAACTAAAATCAAGTTATCGAATCCCTCAAACTTAATTTTCAGTTTCCCACTTTAGTGAAGAAAGAGCAAAATGGGAGAAAATAAGCTACTATAAATTATCCTATCTAATAAAAGAGTAATATGCAAATTGACCATCACTCCAACACACAAGATGGTTGCCCCCATGTGAACACAAGATGGCCACCACAAGATGGCCAGCAAGGGAGAGCAGTTGGGAGGGACCAGGCTTGCAAGGGAGGGTAGTTGGGGGTGATCAAGCCTACAGGTGGAGGGCAGTTAGGGGTGACCAGGCCAGTAGAGGAGAGAAGTTGGGGGGGACCAAGGCCTGCAGGGGAGAGCAGTTGGAAGGGACCAGGCCTGCAAGGGAGGGAAGTTAGGGGCAAACAGGCTGGCAGCGGGGCAGATAGGCATCAATCAGGCTGGCATGGGAGTGGTTAGGGGGTGATTAGGCTGGCAGGCAGAAGCAGTTAGGGGCAATCAGGAAGGGAGGCAGGTGAGCAGTTAGGAGCCAGCAGTCCTGGATTGTGAGAGGGATGTCAGACTGCCCGTTTAAGCCCAATCCCACCTAAATGGGCAGTCTGACATCCCTCAAGGGCTCCCATATTGGAAAGGGTGTAGGCTGGGCTGAGGGTCGCACACCCCATGCATGAATTTTATGTACTGGGCCTCCAGTTTTTGCAATAAAAGAACAAACTTTGGTGTTGACATGAGTGGGACTATCTCCTACAACTATAATAATTGATAGTCATAACTTCAAGAAGACACTAGCTCTGAAATACTTCAAGACCATGAGTCATTTGGGAAGTAATCATTCATTCAACAATGTTTCCTCAGTGTCCTCTGTCTGCCAGACAGTTAAAGCACAGGTGCTAGCAACCCTGGAAGCCTGGAGAGGAAGTGTAGGGAGTGCTTATGGGATGAAGTGCTGCTGAGAGTAGAGTAAAATAAGAATGGACCTTTGGCTTGGCAGTGCAGGAGTTATTGGTGACCTTGAGGCATGGATTCAAAGCAATGGCAAGGCCACAACCAGACATTTAGTGAGTCAGGGATTGTAGAAGCAGCAGTAGCACATTAAGATACTCTCTTAAGGCGGAAAAAACAAAACAAAACAAAACAAAAAACCCAAAACTTATGTGTGGGGGTGGGGAGAAAGGGATTGTAACTAGAAAGGAGAGAGGGTTCAAAGGTTAGTGTACACACACACACACACACACACACACACACACACGGTTGTATGCTAATGGAATCATACAGTAAAGAAGGCGAAATGATGCAGGGGAGGGAGGTGTGGAAGTAAAGCTCATGAAAGGTCAGAGGAGATGAGGTCCAGAGCCCGGATGCAGGGGCTGGCCATGGCTTGGCGCAGGACTCTTCTTCCACCGCAGCGGGTGAGAAGACCTAAACTATAGGTAGACGCAGCTGCCATTTAACAAATATTTACAAAAAATATCTGTGCTGGACAATGACAATATAGCAAAGAGATGAAAACCTTGTGTTCATGAAACTTTTTTCTAGTGGGAATGGGAGGAAGGGGACAAATAATAACCAAATAAGTAAAATATATAGTATGTCAGATGATGCAGAGCGCTATCAAGAAAAGCAGAGAAGTGAGGAGGGAATCATGGAACGCTGAGTGGGTAGCAGGATAGCGGGGTGGGTGTGTTGAGGGTGAATTGCAATTCTCGTGAACTGGGCACCTGTTGTAATTTCTATAAACTTGACGTAATTTCTGTGAACTTACTTCTTGACCCTCCAACGCATTTATTTTTCAAAATTAGATTAAATGTGGCCTACCACCCACATGTGAGGGCTAGTGGGACACCCACTACCAGCCTCATTTCAATGTGCCCCTTCTGTGGGTAGCCCAAGACTTGTCCAGCCCTGTGTCTCTCCTTTATAGCCCTCGTCATAGGTTTAATCATACAGTTATTTACATAATTATTTGATTAATATGTTTCTTCCCTACTAGACTAGAAGTTTTTAAGTTTTTACCTCTCACTTGATGTGGCTGGTCTAGTAAATTAAATGGCCATTTTTGAAGTAGGTAAGGTATGTTTTTATACCAATGGAGTATGTGAAATAGCATGAAATATAGTTGTCCTCTAATTTAAATAATCTCTCTACCTTTTTTTTTTTTTTTTTTTTTTTTTTTTTTTTGCAGGACCAATGCCAGAGGTGCTCCCCTAAATATAAATAAGGTCTCCAATAGCCTGATTAATTTTGGAAGGAAGTTGATTTCTCCTGCAACAGCCCCAGGCAGTAGCAGTGGCCCTGGTTCTGGAGGCAGTGGTGGCAGTGCCTCCACTGCTGTGGGTTCCCCCAGGACCCTGACAGAAATCCCCCGGCATCATTTGCAGCAGCAGCAGCAGCAGAGGCTGATGAAATCGGAAAGCATGCCGGTGCAATTGAACAAAGGTAAGGAAAAGTACTAATCAATCTAAAGAAAACACTCGCAGTATAGCCTGCTTGTAAGAAACCAACTTCTGTTAATTTTTAATAAATTCATTGTATTAGGTCCTTTTAAATTACCTGATCAGATACTAAGCTGTTCTTCATTACAAACACCTTATGAGGTAATTTGCTAAGGTATTTTTTGACGTTTATATGCTGGTACAGTTGGTTTGCATCCTGTGGAGCCTCCTAGAGTATGGCACGAACTGCCGCAACACAGAACTCGAGGTCAGTTGGCTGTGGTGTTGCTCACTTGGATGATAATGCTTCTGACTAGAAGATAATCTGAAATGGGAAGTTGCAGACACCATGGGCTTTGCTAGTCACAGCGCTCCCCTGGGCAGTTGGGTTGGAGGAAGCATGCCCTTAAACCCCCACTCTAGCTGTTTCACCTCTGAGTTAACAAACTAGAACCGTAAAGGGTGGGAAAGCTAAACAGAATAGCAAGCTCCAAAGTAAGTATCTGAGTCCATGCACTAAACACTGAACAGTAGAATGTCAGAGCGGAGGAAGCCTGGGAGGTGGCCCCATCCAACGCTCACTGGATGCCTGAGGGCCCCGCTGTGAGAGCTGCTTTCTGTTTCTGCGCCTCTCCAGGCCTTCACCTCCCACACGCATTTTATTCCTTTACACTTTACACTTTACACTTTTACTTTCTACTTATGTTCAGAGACATGTGTATTTAGTGCCCCTATTCAAAGCCCATTAAAAAGAACCGCATTTATTTTTTAGTGGGGGGACTCTGCTATCTGTACTGTAGGAACAAGAAATAACATGATGGCAAAAAATGTATTTTTTAAGCCATTCCTAAAATGCATTAAAAAAAAAGATCTGTGGCCATTTTGTTTCAAGGAAAATATACTGATAGATGCCTCATTCATGTCTTAAAGGGATCCCTGTGGAATAAATAGCCATATTCCATAACTGGTGTTGACAGTAGCAATAGTAATACTGAGTCAGTGTGAAGACCTTAAGCCATGTTCCATATACTCTGTTTGAGAAGCCTGCACTCAAAATTATGAAAAATTTTAAGTTACTGGCATTTAAAATGATAACTTAAGTTAAATAGGCTTTATTCCCCAATGTTATAAAATAATGAGTATTATTCAATGAGTGTGTATATGTTTCCATTATATCATGTTATCTATTATTGCCTATATGAAGTATTAAACTTTATATATTCATATTTAAATTTCTATTAGAGTATTGTTTACCTATAAAAGACTATATCATTTAAAATTACATTCTTCTCTTTTTAATATAGAGCTATCATACATGATTTAACAAAAAGGAGACTTCAAATCATTAACATGTTATAAACGCATTTTAATGCCAGGAGACATGCCCACTTACAGAATGGAAATGAATGTTATTTTATATATTTCTTAATTGTACTCTTTTATTGTTCTAAACAAATATGATTTCAATATTGCTTTGATAACAAGCTGTAGTCAGTAGTAATTCTAACTGATGGCAGGCAAATGAGTCAGAGAATCTCTTAATGCTGTAGCTTAAATTTTCTGAGGAACCAAGCCAAATGACTATAGAAATATAAAGTTGTGTCTCTTAGGAAATGTCAAGTATTAATATCACAGTAAGTGAGAAAGGAAGTGCATGAAGATGGAACAATTGACGAAAACTAAGTCCCCAGTTAGAAGAAGACAACAGAGCACTTAAGCAAAGTGTTTGGAACATGCGCATCATCACTGAGGCACTTCGTAACTGGCCCCGTGCTAGAAGGAAGACGGTGGCCTTCTTTGGCAACTCTTCCGTCTTTTTATTTCTGGTTTGTTCTACTCATGTCAAACTACAGAAAGACTGTCTATCTTCACATTAGAGATAAGTATTCCTGCATAAAGACTTGAATAAAACAGGAAAGGGCAAAGAGAACAATTTATACAAGTAGAAGCTAGTGTGAGGATGCTTTTCATTCACTCACCAGTGAACTGTAAGCAGGACCCTGGAGCTCTCTGATCCTCTGTTTCCAACCCTGAAGTCAGAGGCTTGGACTAATCCCTGGAAGTCTTCCAGGTCCAAAAATCTATGGTTCCTTTGGTCAAAGATGACTTGTTAACACGATGGTGGAAACACTTCTCCAACACTGGTTCTTTAAGCTGGCATTTCCCGCAGGTGTCCTGCTGAGCCGTGGCACCGAGTGATCCACAGGTGGGTCACATGTTTGGATGGTAGAGTGAGCACAGTACGTAGCCTGTCAGGAGGCTTGCATTGAAATATGACTTCTAACTCTCTCAGAATGGAGTCATCTACACTGCGCCTCTGAGGAAAGATAATTTATTAGTCTTTTTAGTGTCCTCTGCTGGAAAATTTGAAAGTTGTTTTGAAAAATAGTTATTTATAAAGATGAAAATGCTTATGGTTTTCCTAGGTTAGTTAACTGTCAGTCATTTGTGCTTGTACAGGGGAGCAGTTGTATGGAAAACAGAAAATTCACATATACGTTGCTTGAAATGCATCCTGTCATTTGTGTATGTGTTTGGGGGTGGGGTCTTAAAATAAGGAAAAGGGAGCACAGATGTTCCTTCATAAGTTTCCTGGTGATATATATAATATTAAAATTAGTTTTTAGTCTCTAAATATACACTAACTAGAGGCCCAATGCACGAAATTCATGCAAAAGTAGGCCTTGCTTCCCCTAGCTGCTGGCACTGGCTTCCCTCTGGCACCTGGGACCTGAGCTTCTGCCGCAGCCCTGGCTTCAACTGAAGGTTGTCCTGAAGGACATCCAGTCTAATTAGTGTATTACCCTTTTATTAGTATAGATAGAGAAGCAGCAAAATAAACTGGATAGCAAGCATAAAATTAAAAAAATTTTAAAAATATAGAAAAGAAGCATGCCATTTATCCATGAATAGAAAGTTAACTCTGCTATGAAAATTCAGGACCTGAAAATTCTGCCTAACGCTGTTTATCACTTGTTTGAAGTATGTACTTACCTATAAATTGTATTATAGTTACCCTACATAATAAAAGGCTAATATGCAAATTGACTGAACGTCGGAACAACTGGTCACTATGACGCACACTGACCACCAAGGGGCAGACTTTCAATGCAGAAGCTGCTCCCTGGTAGTCAGTGCACTCCCACAGGGGGAGCGCCGCTCAGCCAGGCTCATGGCTGGTGAGTGCAGCAGCAGTGGTGGGAGCCTCTCCTGCCTCTGCCTGTCTGATTGATGACTTAGGACTGCTCCCCCGGGCTCCTGGACTGTGAGAGGGCTCAGGCCAGGCTGAGGGACCCTCCTCCCCAAGTGCACAGATCTTGTGCATCAGGCCTCTAGTAGGAGAATATAAATATATGTATTGTTAATTGATAGTGATGATATAATTACAGTCCAGTAATCTCCATCTGAGCTGGCCATGCTATAAATCATAATTGTAGCAAGTGGTCAAGGCACTAAGAGTATGTTATTTAATTCGAAAATAGATTTTTTTACTATTGTATAAAAACTATAGGGGAAGCAAGTCTATTAATCATACATTATCACACACACAAAATATGGTGCCTTTTAAGAAGGCTTGTGCTTTGACCTTGTTAAGCTCAAAATAACATAGGCCTTCAAATACTGTCTACAGTGATTGCTTAATGTTGAACTTTGTCACCCAGGAAAGAAATCAAAGAAGCAAAAAAATCTTCCTTCTAAATTGTGTACCTCAGCTCTTCACAGGATTTCCCATGATGTTCCTTTTCCTTTCCTTTCTGTGTTCTTATAATGCACTCCTTTTCCCCATTTCCTTTGTCTGTTTTTCAAATTTGAACACTTCTTTATTTTAAGCATTTACTACAGGTCTAATTTGTAAATGAAATTGTGCCTATAATAAGTATATCAAGTTTAAGGGGTGTGCCATGCACAGATTTATTTTTACATGCTGACATTTCTAAGTACATGTGGGAACTTTTGAAATCTTTTCAATACTTATATGAAATTAGAACTCGTTTAAGTCTTGATCTGATGATTGAAGAAACTGATTTCAAGTTTAGCTAAAAATAAATTTTGTCTGTTAGAGAGGGGAATCAATTTCAAAAGAAATGTTACTTAATAAATGCATGTAATTTTTTGGTTAAAAACTTTTGAAAGAAAATATAAAATCACACATTATAGCATAATGAAGTATGTTCGGCAAAATCTTTTGATTGCTAGAGTTTCCTATACTTTCAACTGGTAGAAATTTGTTTTGTATTTTAGACTAGAGGAAATTTGTTTGTTTTCTTTAAGAAAAGCATGCCCAGATGTTTTTTAGGTAATACTTTAAAAAAAAAATAGTTCCTTTTAAAAATATTTTATATTTATTTTCATAAGATTGTACTGTATTTTCTGTTTTATTTTACTTTTAGTAGTTTGATTGATAAATGTAGTACAACATTAAGTATGAAAAAAAAAGTTGATTATTTTTGATTTTTATGAAATCTAATTCTTTTTTCTTATGAAATCTAGGTGATGTCGTTACAGGAAGCAATGCTCAGGTTTCTGTTCCCGTCCAGACCCTAACTGACCTCCAAGGTACAGTTACCATGGCAACATAGTATGCCTTTTTGCCTTCAGTATTATCATTGCCTGTTCCAAAATTCCATTGTTCTTTCTGCCCACCCTCCAATTCATAGTTTATTGGTTCACTACCATTATCCAGCCACTGAGTGGCACTGTTGTTTAGAACAAAAGTCCCTTCTCATGTCATAACGGTGATGCCAAACCTAGCTGTGCTGTGGGTGTTCCAAGTTGACACAGGCCTCTTTCCTTGCAAAACATGGGCGCTCTGTATTTTGTGGTGATTTTCACAGTTTTATTGAGCAGCTCACACCAAGGTGTCCTTTTTGTTGCATAGGTGCTCTCTGACAGTAACTAACAAATTAGTTCTCAGATTTGATTATTTATGTGCTGTTTGTATGCATATTATTGTAGGTATTAGCCAGAGTACTAGTTATATTTTACCTAAAAAAATCATAACTTGAGTTTGAAATAAGTTTTAAGTACAGGCTTTGTATTATGAATCATATTAACAGAAAGTTCAGTATGACAAATCTCCAGACATAACTAGCAATGACTTAAAATAAACAATAACATTTTAAAACCATAATCGTTTGTTCTTAATCTAGAAAAAGGTTTATTTAAGACATACAAAATATAGTAATTCATATTCAGCACTCCCTGTGGAATTTAAAAACAAATATTTAAAGTTGTTGCATTAATCTTTCAGTATGTAATATTTTAGATAAAATATGCTAGAGAGGAATTCTGTACCAAGTGGGAGCCCAGACTATGCAAACTGAAAAGTAGATTCAAATTCAGAATTAAAATTCATATAATGTTTTCTTTAATTTAATATATACACATAATTTAGTCATGCTAATAGTATTAAAATATTGTCCTAATAATTATATGTCTTCAAAATACCTGTGCTTTATGATAAATTAACAGAAAAAAATATATTGTGACCAGGAAATGAGTGGTATGTGGCTTAAGCTATTAAGAAACAAAACTGTTGTGCTAGAGGAATGTGACCTCGCGTCTATATATAGTCTGGCTTTCACAGGTATAGTTTCGGCTGTGTTCTGGTAATTGAACCATTTGACCTTTAAGGGTTTGGTCAGCCAGGGGATTCCATGAGGAGCTGCTGTTGACTCTTCATGGTGTCTGTTATATGATATAAATAGATGCAGTAAAATGGAAATAGAAAAGGCAGATAATCGCCAAATAATTTGTCTTTAGCCTTGTCAATAACTGCACTTAAGCAAATACTAATGTCATTATCTGATATGATGAGAATTCATAAGGCTTAAATCTGTTTCCTAAAATTAAAATCTGAGCCCTCTAGTCAACCCTTTAATAAGTGTTTTGTTATCTGAAGTTCATTTGGCTGTGGGGAGAGAGGCCGGAGGCTGCCTTGCTCATTGTGACTTCTGCTCTATGCTGTCACTGCTCATTCCCTTTGGCCTCAGACCAGAGCCCCCTGAACCATGTTGCCTTTTTAATAGAGTCTTGAAGAGTGAGGTTATATCATTTTATTCAAATAACCGAATCATGTCATTCATTTACTCCACAAGTATTTATTGAATGCCTACCATGTGCCAACCTCTGTTTTCATTGATCCCTTGCTTTCCCTACAGCTTTACCAGGTGGACTGGGCATCAGCCGATGCTTTAAATGGTCCAAACAGGCCTATTTTTCTGGAGACACATTCAAAATTCCCCCTGCCTGCCACGCCCTCTCAGAGAGTCTATCAGTCTGCTAGGGGAGGCTCCAGTCCACCAAGGGAGGTTCCCACCCCTTTATGTGACGTGAGGGCAAACAAACAGCTTTCAGTCTGTGATGGTGAGGAGGAGACAGTGTGAACATATCTCCTTGGTTTGAAGAAGTCAGTCTGTGTTTTCTTCACGCTTCCTGCAGAGGCTAAGAGAGCAGAGGAAGGAGAAGTAAACCATAATAGTCAGTGGTGGCAACAAAAAACTTTCTAACAATCTATGATTAATAGGATTAGTCATATTAGAAGTTAAATAACTTAATCAAATGTGCCAAACCCATTCTATTCCCCTTGAATCTCATATTTTAAGAGTAGATAAGCTTTTCATTTCATGGAACTAAAGCTATCATTCATACTGTCCCAAATGTCTTTTTTTCTGGCAGCCTATTTCCCTAAGGAGAATCATTGTTAAGTTTCTTATGATTCCTTGTAGGAAAAAACCCCACACAATAGATTTTAAACCGACGAGTAAAGTGGGAGTCACATAAACGTGACTTTCTTCCTGGACCTTCAGGAATAAAGTATAACAGAGATGGCCCAGTACAGGTGACAGGCATCAGACTGGGAGGTAAAGAAATGGGAGTCAAGTCAACTAGAGTCGGACATAGTACTGACCACAGGCACCCCTTCATGAGGGGAGGGACTGAAAACTAAAAAGCTATCCTTGTGCGTGACCCTACACTGGTCACTGGCTGTTGCTGAGAAATGAGAGCCCCGAAGCAGCAGACAGTTCCATTGTGTCCTGTATAATCACCTTAAGAAGGCAGAGAATCACATAGTATATAAAACAAGTTTTCGGTAGCATCTATCAGCTAGAAGTTGCATTTTTGTAGAACACTCCAAAAGACATTGAATAAAAGAGTTGGTTTTTGTACTGAGAATAAGATCAGCATTTGCCCTTACTTTTAAAATACCTCATTCTTGTTTTTAACTTCAGGTCATGCTTACTACAGCCTACCAGACACAGCCCTGGCTAGGGGAGCAGGGGGTGCAGCTTCGCCCAGTAGGGGCTCTGGATGAGGCCAGGATCACTGACCTTACCTGTAAAGAGAAAAGAAAACAGCTGCTTCAGGGGTGTAAGAAGTGACCCCGTCATCCCATACTGATGCCTCCAGAGCCCTTGTGTGTTTTCATTAAATGCCTTTTAGTTTTCAGAATCAAATGATGAAGGAGCCCGCTGAGCACCTCTATATTTTCTTCATAGTAACTTTCGATATCCTACAGCCACATGTTTGCAGGCCAGCCCTGGCCCTGTCAGCGCTTGACCGCTGTGTTCGGCTAGAGCAGCTCTTTCTGGGCCTTCAGGTACAGCCTGCTCCCGTTGGCTCTCTGGTGGCACCAACGTGCATGTTTTTAAATGAGCCAACATCAGCCCTCTTGCTCTCTGTCACTCGAGTCTGAGGCAACAGAATGTGACCAGATGGGCCAGCTGCCTCACTTCCTCCCGGGTCACTGCGTGAAGTTGCGGCGATCCCCTTTCTGTGACTGCAGCCCTGGGCTTTCTGCTCTTCTGAGCTATGCCTCCCACCAACCACCCCCAGATTTCCTAGCCTCCCACACACTGTGCTTTGGGGCTTTATCCTATGGTGCACTGGTCTCAGTGTCTTTCTCAGTTACATAGGAAGCTCCAAAGAATTTCATCAGGCTAGATGTCCCCGGGAGTCCAACTGCCTTGGCAATACTTGTTCTCTGCCAGAAATGACCCTCCTTGAGTCATTCCCTAAGTTCTAAGGTTTCCCTTACACCTCTGATTGCCTGGGACAGAATTAGATACGGCCTCCTTAGTGCTCCCAGGCCACTGTTGTCTATACTCCTTTGATCACCTGGGATTTTAGGTTAGTGAATGTACTAACTGTTTTCTTTGTACTGTTATTTTGGGAACTTTAATGAGCTTGTCTTGTCCCCCCTCCTCAGGGCTGGACAGAGTTTCTATAGGTACATCATAAGCTCATACCCTGCTGTTTGGTTATGAATGAAAGATGCAGCTTGAGAAGTGTTCTATAGTTAGTTAAGGATGCCTTGCGATGTAAAATAACTTTTAAAGAATTGCCTTGGGTCAGAATTCCTGATAAATGAAAGTGAGTGAAGGCTTTTGGGGGGGGTGCCCTCAAGCTCAGCACCTGGGGAGTGAAAGGGGTTGAGATAAGGGGTCAGTTGACCTGCCTTGCTGTTGCTGCTGAACCCCTGAGCCTGGGATGGCCCTTCAGCCGTGTCTGCCTTGACGCAAGGGGGTAGCCTGTACCCTCTATCAGCCCAACTAGTGACTAACTAGAGCTAATTCCCAGAGAGGGACAGGACCTTGGGCAAGCAGCTCTCCAGAGCTCAGGGACCTCCTGGAAAGGGACTCCTGAGAGCCATTCTCATCAGCTCACCCAGTATCCGGAACACATGCCTCAGTTCAGAAGGGGCACCTGGGCAGGGCACCCAGGAATGTACATAAGAGCGTGCCTCTAAGGACAGGCCTTAGTTTGAGTGCAGCAAAAGAAAAGACTCACGTTGTCCCTGTCAGTTAAAGACATTAAAAGGTTTCCAGAGCTTCAGAGCCCCTGTGCAGATGGGCTACAGGTAGCTGAGAATATCGGCTCCTCAACTCGGACGTGTGCAGGGCCTGGGGTAGAATGTTCCATCCAGGTATGAAAGGCAAGGAACTCTAAGAAGCCTTCTCCTGGCTCTAAGCAAGGCTGCTTCTGGTGCCCGGCCTTTCCCATCCTCTCCACATGAAGTGTTCCCTCAGCCCCTTGGGAACATGTCAGGGACTCCATTTTCTTTGGTGTAAATGTTAGTTCCCAAGGGCACAACAAAATCAGTAACCTAATTTCTGTAATTTAGGGGAAATACATTTTGTGCAGGGTTTAAATGTGTCATAAAGGCCAAGAACTTTACTGTAGCCCCACTACATCCTCCAGTATACTAACTTCCCCACTAGGTGAGGCTGGTAATGATCACACCCCTGCCTTCAGTGAGGCCTGGCCTTTGTGATACAGCACTGGAACTGAATACCGGAGGCTCCCCATCAGCTTTCTTTTTTTAGAAAAAGCCATCCCAAAACGCACCTATAAATCCTAAAAATTGGATAGATGGACCTATTCCCCAAATATGATTTGTTTGTTTCTTTGCTGTTTTGAATTAATAGCTGCTTGGAGTCAATGTCTGTGATACAGAAATGAAATAATATGTGTTGGCACAGTCTTTAAGTTTGGACAAATCTTACGGTGTTGCTAGCTACAAATATAAAAGTCTATGTCCTTGGACAAGTTTATTA